CTTCTTTCCTACCTTCCTCTTCTTTCCCACCCTCCCTCTTCTTTCCCACCCTCCCTCTTCTTTCCCACCATCCCTCTTCTTCTTTCCCACCATCCCTCTCCTTCTTTCCCCACCATCCCTCTTCTGCTTTCCCACCATCCCTCTCCTTTCCCCACCATCCCTCTTCTTCTTTCCCACCCTCCTTCTTCTTTCCCACCATCCCTCTTCTTCTTTCCCACCATCTCTCTTCTTCTTTCCCACCCTCCCTCTTCTTTCCCACCATCCCTCTTCTTCTTTTCCACAATCTCTCTTCTTCTTTCCCCTTTCCCCACCCTTCCTTTTCTTTTGTCCCCTTTCCCTGTGATAAATACCATCAAATGGGATTGCTGGGTCAAATCATAAGTATATGTTTAACTATTTAAGAAACTGCCAAACTGTTTTTCCTACTTTCTCTACCTTCTTTTCCCTGCCTCCCTTTTTCTTTCCCCACCGTCCCCCTCCCACTCCCATTCATCTTGCCACCATCTTTTCGCTACTGTTATCTCATCACCCTGCTCTCCCCAGCATTTCCCCCGCCTCACGCCCACTGTTTTCTTCTTTCTCCCAACCTGCCCCACCTGATCCAGCTCTCCCCTGCACCTCCCTTCCCTGCCTGGCTCCCGCCTTCTACCACTCTTCCTCACTCCCGCTAGCGCCTCCTTGTCTCCTCCCCACCCCCATCTTCTTCCCGCCCTCGCTCCGGTCTCTACCCTCCCCCACCCCAGCTCCCCACGTCTTGCTCCCTTCTCTTCTTCCCACGGACTTCTCTCCTGGCTCCCGTCTCTTCTTCCGACGGGCTTCTCATTCTCTCTCCTCCACCCCTTCTTGGGGAAAGAAGAACTTGGGGAGAAGAGCTTGGGGAAAGAAGATGGTGGAAGAAAAAAAGATAGTAGGGAACCTAACTTAAGGAGATGGAGTCGGGAAGAAGACCTTGGGGGTGAGAAGGACAGATTGTGGGAGGAGACAGCGGGATGTGGGAAGAGAAGGGGAGAAGGACTTGGAGAGAGAGGGAGTGGAGAAAGAAGACAGTGGGGAGAAGGACTTGGGGGAAAAAAGACGGCAGAGAGGAAGAAGAGGGTAGGGAGCAAAAACAGTGCTGAGAACTTGAGGAGTGGAGGTGGGGAAAGAAGACTGCGATGTGGAAAGAAGACCATCATGGGGAAAGAAGACAGTGGGGAGAAGAACTTGTGGGGAGGGAGTGGGGAAAGATGGTGGGGAAAAAGGAAAGTGGGAAGAAAAGCTTGGGGAGAGGACGGTGGAGAAGGGAGGAAGACTGGAAAGAAAGAGTGGGGAAAAAGAACTTGGGGCAAGGGAATGGGGAAAGAAAAGGTAATGGGGTGGAAAAAAGATGGCGGACAAAAAAAAAACAGGAGGGAAAGAAGATGGTGGGGATAGATGACGGTTGGGAAAAAAGATGGGAGAAGAACTTGAGAAGGCAGCATGAGGAGAGGGAGTGGGGAAAGATAATGGGGAAAGAAGATGGTAGGGAGGAGAACTTGCAGTGAGGGAGTGGGGAAAGAAAAAGGTGGAGAGGAAGTGGGGAAAAAGATGGCGGGAGAAAGAAGAGGGTGGGGAGAAAAGAGTAGGTAGGAGAAGAACTTGAGAGGAGGTGGGGAAAGAAGGAAGAAAGAGGAGAAGAACTTTGGAGAGTAAGTGGGGAAAGAAGATGGTGAGGAAAGAGGAAGGTGGGGAGAAGAGCTTGTGGGGAGAGGCTGGTGGGGAAGGAAGGAAGACTGGAATATTTTAATAAGTGACTTGAAGCTTTTTTTTTTTTTTTTTAAATCCAACATTTGGTTATCTTAGGGTTGTCATCTGTTGATTCCCTTTCTCTTGAGAGTTGTTAAAGTTTTTCTGGTTCTGTTTTTTTGTGTTGAGTAATTTTGGATTGTGTCCTGGGTATTAAGATATCCTGGGTCCTGTTAAAATCCCTAAAGCCTTGACCATGCTGATTGTATTCAGTTTCATACATGAAAAGCTCAGTGGAAAGCCCAATATTTCATGATTTAAAGGATCCCTTTCTCCAGCTTCTTTCTCTTTGATATTCTACATTTTTCAGTTTCAGTGGTTCCCTTCTTGGGTCTCTTGTTAGAAAGCCCGGGCTTTTTCTCCTTGACATTGTTACCTACTTTTCCATAGCTGAACCTAAGTTGAGGCAAAGTAGTATGGGCAGAGAACATATGTGGCCACCACTGTTTTCCCTGCCCCACATTGCTTTTGCTGTTGAGTGAGCACAGCTTCACTATTGGATCTCACTTGGAGTGGAACCACGAGATTCCAAAGAGCTCATTTCACACACCACCAGGTGGAGGTAGAGCTGCTTCATTTTTGGTA